GCAAGTTGGCGAGACCTCATTTCTACAATAAATCAAAAAAACTAGCCGGGCGTGGTAGCGCATGCCTGTAGTTCCAGCTACTTGGAAGGCTGAGGCAGAAGGATCCCCGGAGCCCAGCAGGTCGAGGCTGTGGTGGCCAGGAGTGTGCCACTGCACTTCAGTCTGGGCGACAAAGTGAGACTCCAACTCAAAAAATAAAAATAAAAACAAAGAATTTGCCTATGCTTGCTGAACACCTGACATTGCTTAATCAGGAGTCAATAAGGATTTCCTGGATGGATTTGTTCATTTGAAGCTGATATATATTTTTGAGACTAGTGTGGTAAGTTTAGTAAACTAATATCCAGGAGACCCTATACTCTTCCTTGCCTGCCTTCCATTTTGGAGGATGCTTCTGGGTGCTGACTCTCCTGTGAGCCCCTTAAGGGTGCAGTGATAGTAGCTGCCCTTCAGAGCGTCACACACAGGCTTCACACGTTCATGCCAGCTCTTCCATAAGTAGCTCTGGTTAGCTGGTCCATTCTTATTGTCTGGGGATGTTAGGAGAGTCAAAAATTCCATTCCATGGCTCCAGTGCATCTCCTTACAGTATTGTGCTTTTGTTTCAAATTAACGAGGAGGGGGAAGCTGAGAAAGGAGTTTGTGTGGTGTAAAGAGTACCATTGTTTGAACTGGAAACTTGAATGTTGTGAGTGTTGATACATGACCCATGGTTGCCTACTTCTAAAAAAAATTTTGTGCTCATAGTATGGTACTATACCAGGGGTTTTTAGAACAAAAATTCTAATTATTACATAACTTTCTTATTGTAGTGGGCGGGCTTGGCTGAAATGAGAACTGCTGAAGCCAGACAGAGAGCTTGTGATGAACTGTTCACCAATGAAGAGGAGGAATACAGCCTCTATGAAGCTGTAAAATTTCTAATGCTAAGCAGAGCTATTGAACTCTATGATGATAAAGAAAAGGGAAAGGAAGTACCATTTTTCTCTGTACTCCTATTTGCTCGGGACACGTCGAATGACCCTGGACAGCTGCTGAGGAACCATCTAAATCAAGTGGGACACACTGGTGGCCTTGAGCAGGTGAGTTGTGACTTTGGGAGTGTACCCCAAATATAGTAGCTTTAACCTTCAACAGGATCTCACTGTTTTTGTAGGTTAGGAATTCAGAAGCAGCTTAGTTGGGTGGTTCTGGCTCAGGGTCTCGGGGGCTGCAGTTGTATGTTGCCATCATCTGAAGCCTTGACTGGTCTTGAAGGGTACAGTTGTGGCATGGCTCACACACGGCCGTCACTGGTCATTAGTAGGAGGGTTCGGCTTCTCGCCACATAGGCCTCTCCACAGGACTGCCTGAGTGTCCTCATGACATGGCAGCTGGCTTCTCTCAGAGTGACCCAAGCAGAGAACAAGGAGCAAGCCACAGTGTCTTTTAGGATCTAATTGTGGAAGTCACACACTGCCATTTACACCATGTTCTGTTAGAAGTCACTAAATGCATTCCACTCTCAAGGGGAGGGGAATTAGGCTCCCCCTTTTCAATTGAGGAGTGCCAAAGAATTGTGAACATATTTTACAGTCACCACTGTTATGTCGGCCTGGGCTTCATTCTGCAGGTTGGTGGGTGGGAGGCTACAAATAAATGAAGCACTTGGGAGAGCCATTGGAAGGGTCTTGTTTAATCCTGGCAGCTATCGTTGCATTGGAAATAGAAATCGAATCCATTTGCCAGTAGAACCTAGCCTGCTCTTTGGGTCTTTTATAGATATGCTGAGTTTGGAGTTTTACAGAGACTCAGTGTGGTCCTGTCTTGGTGCCAGTCGTCATTACTGCACCTTGTGCTATCTTTGGTGTGTTCATTTCAAGTCTTAACAAGGTTTTTTAAGTAGAGTAGCCAACTACTGAACTAGCATTAAAGCTTTCCATCAGAGTGCCATCCTCCTACTTACATAGCTGACTCTTGTGCCTGCCTTTTTCTGAAAAGGCACAAGTGCCAAGACAGATACTGCAAGGAGCAGAGATCTGAATTGGATTTCACTCCAAGCTATCCCGGAGGGTGGAAGTGTATTCCTTTGTTTTTCCCAGTGTGTAGGAAGGAGCAAAGACTGATGGTCACTGCTGGGTCTGTCATGACTCATGACAGTTATTTTTAAAAATCATCTGTCCTCATAATGTGAGTTTCTTATGTCTCCTGAAGCACAGCACAAGCCTAGCAGTAAAATGTCTGGTAGGGTATGGCTTACATGTGAGACGACAGGTACTCCTTTCTGAGACCCCACAAGGTCTGCTGTAAGGGTGAGTCCATTTTTTTTGGTAATAAGCAGCTTTTTGGAAATATGATTTAGATAGCATAAAGTTCACCCTTTTAAAGTTTTGCAGTCATCACCACAGTCTAATTTTGAACCATTTTATCACACCCAAAGAAACCCTGTACCTTTTAGCAAGCATTTGTCCTTTCCCCTAGCCCTCGGTAGCCAGAATCTTCTTTCTGTCTCTATGGATTTGCTTATTGTGGACCGTTCATCTAGAAATTATACGATATGTGGGCATTTGTGAAGGGCTTCTTTCAGTTAGCATAATGTTTTTAAGATTCATCCATATTGCGGCATGTTTTAGTACTTCATTTCTTTTTATTTACAAGTAATATCCTATTGTATGTCTATGTTGCATATTATCCATCTGTTCATCACTTTGATGGAGATTGGGGGATTGTTTTCACTTTGCAGTTACTATGAATAATCCTACTATATACATTCATATATAATTTTTTTGTGTGGACATTGTTGCAGTTCTCTTGGGGGGTATGTGTGTGTATAAGGGTGCAGTAAGTATAGCTGCCCTGTAGAGCTTTACGCATGCTTGTTAGCTCTTCCATAAGTAGCTTTGATTGACTAATCCAACGTTGTTGCCTGGAACAGCACCACACACATACACCTAGGAGTGGACTTGCTGGGTCATATGGTAATTTTTGTTTAATATTTTAATTTTTGTTTAATATTTTAAGGAACTGTTAAACTTTTTAAAGCAGCTACACCATTTTACATTTCCACCAGCAGTGTATTGGAGTACCATTTCTCTACCTCTTCACCAGCATGTCTTACTATCTTTTTTCATTGAGATGAAGTTCACGTAACATAAAATTAACCATTTTAATGTATACATCTCAGTGACATTGAGTACATTGACAATGACTACCATTCATATGAAGTCCCAAAACATTTGTCAGTCCAAAAGAAAACCCTGTACCCATTAAGCAGTCACTCCTTGTTATTATCTGTCTTTTCTTTTCTTTTTTGAGTTGGAGTCTCACTGTCACCCACATTGGAGTGCAGTGGCACACTCATAGTCACCGCAGCCTCGACCTCTGGGCTCAGGTGATCCTTCCATGTAGCTGGGACCACAGTTGAGCGCCACCACACTCAGCTAGTTTTTTTGTTTTATTGTAGAGATGAGGTCTTGCCAGGTTGACCAGGTTGGTCTCAAACCCCTGGGCTCAGGCAGTCCTCTTGCCTCTGCCTCCCAAAGTGCTGCGATTATAGGTGTGAGCCACTGCACCTGGCTGTCTTTTTGATTATAGCCATTCTAGTGGGCATGAAGTGGCTATTGGCCATTTGCATATTTTCTTTGAAAAAGTGTTCAAATCCTTTGTCCAATTTTTAAGCTGGTTATTTGTTTTTTGTTGTTGAGTTGTTAAGAGTTCTTTACCTATTCTGAATACAGGTTCCTTATCAGATATATGTTCCATTCTTGGTTATCTGCATATATATATTTATAGATATATATATAAAAATATATATTTATAGACAAGGATTGGTGCTAGGCCCAAAGGGGAGAAGAAAGGGTTTTTACTTCACCATTGCTGTGTGTCTACTGAGACAACAGATGGAGTGTGGTGTTGGCCATGTCTGTAGCCTCTCAGAACATCTGTTTGTCCTTTCTTTCCAGGTTGAAATGTTCCTTCTTGCCTATGCCGTGTGCCACACCATCCAGGTATACCGGCTCTCCAAGTACAGCACAGAAGAGTTCCTCACCATCTACCCCACTGACCCTCCCAGGGACTGGCCAGTGGTGACACTCATTGCAGAGGACGATCGGCACTATAACATCCCTGTCAGGGTGTGTGAGGAGACGAGTCTGTGACAGGCACCTGGCGGCCTGGGGATGTGGCAAAGGTGCACAGCAACTTCAGGGCTTGGCCGCAGCTCGTGGGTCTCTTAAGAACAAAGAGGAACAACTGGGCCCCTGGGAGCCAGGTTGGACTGGGATGTCCTGAAGAAACTTTTGTTACCAGAACTAACCAAATCTTTCCCCTTGTCCGTGAGGCAGTATGTTTCAGTGGGGCCTTGAAAGTATACCCGTTGGAAGGTGCAGACTATCTTCTCCTGAAGGCAAATACTTTTGTATCAGAGGAGACTCATTTTGGAGATGAATATGTTCTTTATATTTCAAATCAAAACTTTCTCTGTTGGTAAACTGGCTTTTAATTTTTTTAAGACAGTATTTTTTTTCTTCTTTTTTTGGGTGGTAATGGGTTTCTATAGTGATCTTTCTAAGCAATCTGCTTAAGTGGTATAATTCTGGGATGGATATTATTGGCATAGTCATGGTGTCCTCTGATAGTCTCATCTTCTTAGGGAAGGGAGAGCAATGGTTTGGACTTAGATATTAATTAAGGCTATTTTAAGCAGGTTGTCTTGCAGAAGATTAAGAATTGAGTCCAAAGAAGGTTATTTTCAGGTATTTTTGAAGGAGCCGGAGGAGAGAGTGGTAAGGGAACTTAGAATTTCTTGCCCTGTGTGACTGTGACAAATGTCTGACATCCCCAGTGCACCAGAGTCTGGGACTTGATACAGGTGGTGCCCTGTCAGCATGGATGAGTCCGCCTACAGTTGTGTTCTAGGGTTGGGAGCTGTTAATTATTCTAAAGTTCCATAGATTCACAATTTTATAGTCAGAGTTTATATTTGCCTGTGTGTTTAGAGGTGGAAACCAAAGCCAAATGATTTCGGTCAGTGATCTAAGTTCAGAGTTGAAGTTGGGTCTTCCTGTGCCCTTTTCATGCTGTCTGAGGGAGCTTCCATGCTTGATCCAGGTCACCCCTCTGGGGCAGGGGATAAGGCACAGCACACCGCCTGAGATTTTTCATGAGTGAATTTAAGCAGAAGCATGTAGTGAATCCAAGTGTAAAAGTATGGCTGAGCTGCATATGCCCATGATTTGGCTTGGGAAGCCTGAGGGAGGCAGCCTGTGCTGCACAGGCTGGGTGGTGACTGGGGGTGGAGAGGGGCAGCCCTGCTGAGCACTGCCTTAGGGCTGACTTGTGCTGAAGGGGTGGGTCTGTGACCGTTGTCACATGAACCAGAGACACAACCCTTTAGGGTTCTGCTGGTAGCACTGAATTGACTCAGCGTTTGTGGAGGTGGTGTTCCCCTAAGTACTGAGCTGTGTTTTATAATGATTAACTCTTTATCGGTCCAATTTAATATAGTTTATAAGCTATCTAATCTGGGGTGTGTTTTTTTGGGGGGAAGGGCAGGCCATCTTTAAAAATGTAAATTTTGCTTCTAATTAAAAATCAGGTCTTAGTTAAGAAAACTCAGGATGCACAAAACTATTCAGACTGTTACTTTAGTATTTTTCCCATTACCTCATCAGTAATATTCACCACATTTTGCTAGATGTTTAGTAATCAGTGTTGGAATCAAATTCTGCTCTGAATGTGTGTGAATACATTGGAGAGGCTTTGTATTTTTCACTGTGAAATACAATGGTGCTTTGAATAAGAAGGTACCTAGAAGCCAAATTAAAGAAATAATAGTGACTTCTTATTGGCTTTGATGCTTCATTTTAGTTTTTGTAACAGTACACAGGAAATGCTTACTATTCACTTATTTAACACTTTTAAAGTACAACTTGAAAGGTTTAGTTTGTATGTATCTGGCAGTAGGGATCTGTGCCCTTGTGGTGCATTGAATCTGACCATTGGTTCATGTACATTATTGAATTTTAATAGTCCTCATGTTAATACTCATCTATCTTTGCATTTTTAAAATTTTCTAACCTTATGAACTTGAAATGGATTTCTGGGCAACTTAATTGCTTACATTTCATATTTCTTATCCTATGGATGATATTGTTAGTATGCAGGGATTGTGATCTTTCACATTGATAAAAATTCAAAAAAGTATGTTTATTTTATGTTGCTTTCTGTCCCTAGGCCTCGTCAGACTCTGTCAGACTGTTGTTCAGGCTTAGTGGAATCATAGCATCAGAGAAGCAAAGCTTTCAAACAAATAGTACTTCAGGAAATGGAAATGATCGACCAACTCTAAAAATATTTCTTTGTTCCAGTGTGCAACTTCAGTTGCCCAGAATATTAGTTCCATTTTTCATTCTTAGACCTGAACCAGACAGGTGACATCAGTAGATTAGAAATTAAATTGAGGTCAGAATCGATTCAGGAGGATAATCCACTTAGAGGGATCTCTAAAATAAGGTGTCCTAGAGGAAGGGAATATAATGGGAACTACACTATGCTCACCTTCTGTCCCAGAGTTTATTGCAAGAGTTCAGAGGTTTTGGACCCTATATATTGGCAGAAAAATTATCTTCACCTTAAGCAGGCATGATTTATACCTGTAAGCTCATAAGGTGCATTTAAACCTAGAGTAATGTATCTGTATAATATTCCATGGAATGAACATTGCTTTTCCAGAACATTTTCAGATTCCCCTCCTCACCTTCTGCGCTACTTCAGCATATAACACGTTTGTGGATTCTGCTTACACACAGAACAATGAGGTGGCATTAGCAACAAGAAGCCCATGGTATATGGCCTCTGATTTAGGATTTAGACTTATGTGGGATTCAATCTCAAATGTTTGTAGTTCCTCTTCCTTAAAATACACCATATATGAAAATGTTTTAAATGCATACAACAGGGTGGTTATGTTTCTTTACATAATCATTTATGCTTTTATCATGCTGTTATATATTTATTTAGTATCTGATAAGATTTTTTCTTTGATTAAGGTGAATTGCCTTTGTATCCTTTTGTTATTATTTTTCCTTCCAGTCTTAGAGCTTATCAGGTGTTCTCTCAGGCCACATGAATTGATAACACCTCTGACTGAAGAATCATTGGTGGGTTTTCATGTTCTTGGTCTTTTTTTCCTCCTTCTCTTTTGATAAGATGCTCTGTGGTGCTCATCCTGTCCTCCCTCTTACCCCAGGGTACTGTTTTACCCAAGAATCACTAGTTCACTTTTCGAAGGTCTTCCAGTTAGTGGCTGTAAAGTGCTGTACTGCCTTTAATGATATAGCACTCTTACCATCTCAGTGTCTATATGAGTCATACATAGACTTCCTGACTATGTCTTCTTTTGATGTTAAAATTATCAGTTCGATCATTTTCTTCTCTCTTTTTCTTAAGCAGTGCTTTGCAGGTACTCTGCTTTGAAAACCAGAAACTATTTTCAGAAGCATAAACTGTTGGGTAATCTTACTTGAAGGTATGAATAAAAATATATGACTTTATGTAAGATCTATGACTATCTAAGAAAAAAAAAAAAAGCCCTCAATGTGTGTGAAGTGAATCTGATGTATGTAAAACAGAATGTCCAAATAGTTTAGTGAAGGCAGAGCATAACATTAAGTAAAAATCCAGGAAGCTGTAAGAAGTGAACTGCAGAAGATGGAATTGATTTTAGAATAAATTTTCAAGTGCCATTTTAAGCAAAACAACAGATGACAGAGAGACCTTCTGTGCTTAAGTTATAAAAGAATAAAAATCTAAATGGAAGAACTTAGGTATATGTATTTTACAAATTCTTATTTCTAAAATATAAATACCCTATTTAACAAAAGTATGATATTTAATGCTGAACTCTTTTGGGAAAGCTTATTGTGATATTTACCAAGGAGGTGGAAAGACCAGAGAGCCAATATCAAGTTTAGTGACTGTGAGTGAAGGCTGAAGACACAGGCAACTGATTATTAATGTTCTTGTAATTAAGTTTATAACTTGGAGCCATGAAAAGTTTGTATGTATCTGGCAGTAGGGAATCTGACCATTGGTTCATGTACATTATTGAATTTTAATAGTCCTCATGTTAATACTCATCTATCTTTGCATTTTGAAAATTTTCTAACCTTATGAACTTGAAATGGATTTCTGGGCAACTTAATTGCTTACATTTCATATTTCTTATCCTATGGATGATATTGTTAGTATCCCTGACTTTTCCTGGACATTAGTTAGCTGTAGGGGTGAGGTGGGCTCAGCTGTGACCAGGAGGGGTGTGTGTGTGTGTTGTGTGTGTACGTGTGCATATGTGTGCACATGTGTTGGGCTGCAGCCACAGCATGCCTTACTTTATATGCACGCAGCCCCACAGCTTGGGACTCAACAGTATTCTGGGAGGCCAGAGGCGAGCTGTCCCATGTGATTGTATTTTTTCCAGTAAATTGAAATTTATTACTGGGAATGGTAGAATGGGTTTATATATGATTAAAATCTATAGGGAAGCCATTAAGTCTACAAACAGATACATTAATTGCATTGAAATGTCATTAATGATGTACGTTTGTTCCCAGACCTTATGGCCACCTGTTTAAGTATTTTGAATGCTCCCAATAGTATTCAGTAGCATTAATAGAGAATGATACTGATGAATGTTTTATCTCAGTTAATCTTGTTGTTTGCTTGGGTATAAGTTGAGGTCAGAAATGAAATTGCCAAGACATGAGTCAATACAAGGAAGAGACAGGGAGCTCAGAATATCCACCATCCTGACAATTGTTTTTCTGGTAACCAGAAGTGATTGAACTTGATTCTGAACTTCAGTATTTTATTCTTAATTTTGGAAGCTTTCATTTATACATTGAAAAATGCCTTGATCTATATTCACATAATGGTACTAAAAGTATGGTACCCTTTAGAGCAGGGGTTCCCTGCCCCCCAGGCTGTGGACTGGTACTGGTCCATGGTCTGTCAGGAATCACGCTACACAGCAGGAAGTGGGCGGCAGATAAGCAGAGCTCTGGCTCCTATCAGATCAGCGGTGACATTAGGTTCTCATAGGAGCGTGAACCCTCTTAGGAGCCACACGAGAGGGCCCTAGGTTATATCCTCCTTATGAGAACCTGATGCCTGATGATTCCCTCCACTCATCTGTGGAAAAATTGTCTTCCGTGAAACCGGTCCCTGATGCCAGAAAGGTTGGGGACCACTGCTTATAGGAACTGCGGCAATCCATAGTAATGTTGGTTACTTCTGAGTATTTTGATAAGGGAACAAAGCCAAAATGAATGTATTTAGTGAGATTCCTTCTCATATCTATTGTCTTCATTAAGATAATTTGATATTATTACCTGCATTTTAGCAACTTCTAACTTTCTGTGTTATGAAGTTGGAGAGGATAACAACCCACCTTTAGAACTCCTGCCGGTGGTGATGGTGTTTTTCTTCCCTG